GCCCCCTTCCTGGCTGGCCCTCCCCACCCGCCGGGGTCCAGGCAGCTCCGCCCGCGGCGGCAGAGGGCAGGTCCCTGCCTTCCTTCCCCAGGGCAGCGGAGGAAGACGCCGTTCCCCAAATGCTGGCGCCTTTTACTCCTCTGTGCCGTTTGGGGTTCCAAAGACTCTAAGCTCCTATCCCCACCCTGGCCCAGCCCTCCTGTGTGCAATGAAGGGGTGGAGTTTGATATGGCTGGGTCCTAGGCCCATCCTCCCCAGCTCCTCACCCTCTGCAGCCCCGGGAACCTGGGACTCAGGGTAGGTGAAGTCTAGCCAGAAGTTGGTGGCTCTGACCTGCCTCCACCGAGGGCTGCGGTTCCAGGGCCCTAGGCCTCTAGGGTCACTCGGCTGCACAACCAGGCAGAAGCCTGCTGTCACGCCATCCTTGAGCAGGCCCCTGCGTGGCGTCCCAAGGCCTTCCCCACCTATGCCTTCCGGGTCCACAAGGGTGGCCACACAGCCACCCAAGTCCCGGGCAAAGGCCAAGACACCAAAGGCTGGGCTCATGGGGCCACGCCCAGCCTGCTAGATGGCGCTGGGAGAGGGGACTGCAGCACTGAGCTGGGTCTCACCCATGGTGGAAGCCAGGCCTGTTCCCTTGACTCTGCTGCCCAGGTGCTGGGGGAGGGAAACAGCAGCGTCCCCTCTCTGAGGAGTCAGACATGGGGTGTATTTGGAAACTTCCAGGACCAGTTCAGAGTTTAGGGCATTGTTAGGGCATGAAGGCGTGTTAGGGAGTGGCTTAAGTGAACCGGCATTTCCATCCTGCCAGGCACCACCGCCAATCCAGAGGAAGAGCCCTCTAGGACCAGACTGGCTGACAGTACCTCCAGCTGTGGGGGACAAGGCCCTGTGCTGCCCCCTGGTGGCACCATGTGAAGTGTGCAGGGCTCCCAGCTGCCAGAACTCACCCCTTTCTAGTACTCACAGCTGGAAGACTGGGGGCCTGGGAGGGGCAGGGTCCCACCCAAGGTCAAAGGACAGCAGAGGCAGGGCAAATCCAGGTTCAGTCAGCCTCTCCCTTCTCTGCATCTCCTCTTCTTCTTTCTGCCTGGCCCAGCCAGGGCTAGCAGAAAAACCAGACCCAGAAAGGCTCAGAGATGAGAGAACAACTCCAAATCATCTTTTATTTATATAAAAAGGGCATATTTAGCAAAAGACACTGAGAAAAGAGTTACTATGGTCCATGAGACCAGGCAGGAAAGTGCAGGTCTTCTAAGCCCCTGCTAGGGGAGAAGGAGGCCTGTGACAGTGGCGAGAAGTGCTTGGGAAGTGCTGAATGGTGGGGGCTGCAGGAGGGAGAAGGCTCCAGCTGGATCAACACTTTTGGCAGGTCATGGGTGGGACTCACAGTGACCTCACTGCTAACTCTTATAGGAGGCAGTCAGTGTTGCCAACTGGAGTGAGATCCGCCCCCTGGTTCCTGGAGGGCACCCACCAAGGGACACAGGACAGGAAGCCCAGGATGGTTAGTGCAACTCAGGGCGAAGGCCAGGGAGAAGCAGGTGCTCTGCAGTGGCCAAGAAAGGTCCAGACGCTGAGGCTGAGGCGCTTCTTGTTACGTGCGGGCGTTCCGCTCTGTCTCTGCCAGGCACTCTCTGACTAGGGCCCGGGCATGGATGATGCCTGGGGTGAGGGTGAGATGAGGATGGGGAAACAACATACAGGGTCTCAGCGACCTCCACAGCTCCACCCTCACCCTCCAGGGGAAGAACCTTCCCTCCCCACTCGCTTTCCTTTCAGCAAGAACAACTTAAATCTAATGAGGGGCTGGATGAGATCAGAAGTTTGGCTAATACTCAAATTTGCCCTGTTGAAATACAAATTCACAGGTTCTTCCCTGGAAATCGACGCAATTCAATTCAAAACACCTCTCTGGGCAGTGATACTGGCCCTAGTCTAGACTTGGCATCAGGCCTGCAGATGGCCTTCCTTCCCTAATGAAGGACTTCCCAGTTCCAGTATCCTGAGCAGGGCGGGCCTGGACTCACTTACCTCTCTTTAGACGCTCCATGGCGCTCTTGCTGCCAGCATAGGTGGGCCGGATTTCTTTGCCCATCTCCTCTATGACCGACAGCAGGTCTGTGTAGGTGCTCTGGGAGCCCTGGGCGCCAGGTGGCTTCATTGCCTATGTCAAAAGAGAACAGGCAGTGAGCTCAGGCCTTGGGGGAGCGGGGCATCTAGTCCCCATCCATAAGCAAGCCCTTGGCCCCACTCACCTGCACATAGCCCATGGAGGGAGGTCCAAAGTCGTTAAACAGTGGTCTGAAAGGGGCAGCAGCCCCTGGCACCGAGCCTGACGGCGATGGAACACTTCCGGCTGCAACAGGCGCGAGTAAGAGGTCAGCGCGGGGCAGGGACGCCTCCTCCCAGCTTTCCAAGCCCGGGACGGGTTCGCCCGATTCCCTCCAAAGGGAAGCTTCATTCCATGCCGATCAACTTCAGGGACAAACCCCTCCCCCTGCGCTCCACCTACACACCCTTACGTGACCACGCCCACTTCACAGGCCAGCAAACTGAGGCTCAGGGAGGGTAGGCGGCAGGCCCAGTGCTGCAGAACTCAGGCCGTCTTCTCTGCGCGACCTCGACCGCCCGGGCAGGCGAGCAGGGGTGGAGCTGGATCCTCACCTGTAGGGACCGGGGTGCCCGGCCCAGGAGTGCTGGAGCCCGGGGTGCTGCTGGGGGCGGGGGCGATGGGTTTGTAGGACATCCCCAACTCCTGGGTGCGGCGGACGCCAGCCGGCCGCTCCTCCGGGGTTGGCTGCCGGGCCTCCCAGCCGCGCTCTGATTGGCAAGCGGGCAGCACGCCCCTGGTAAATAGATCTCTGGCCGGAAGGGCGGGCGGGCACGACGCTCCCTCACTCCCGATTGGCGCGCACAGCTGTCACTCGAGCCTCCTTATTGGCTGAGACCTGCCCCAACAGGTCGCAACCGCTGCCGATTGGCCTCCGCCTTCCGGACCTCGCACCTGTCTGCTCCGGATTGGGCGGTGGCCGCCGCCCTCGGCAATTGGCGAGTTCGCGGCCCGGGCCGGCGCGCTCTCAATCCGATTAGTCCCAAGACCGAGAGGCGGGGCTCGGATCCCGGAGCCGGTCTGGGCTGCCGCGGGTCGTGCCGGCGGGGTCTTCCCTGTGGCGGGCACCGCACTCACGCCTCCCTCGCGCTGCTTCGCGGGTCAGCTCCACGACGCCCAGTCTCGGTCCAGCGGGGGTTGCTGCAGCCGTCGCCGCCGCCGCGCGCGCCTTCACTTCGGCTCCGGTGCTGAGGACGCGGGGCTTTGACGTTCGCGGCCCCGCGCTTCACCCCCTGCGCTTTTACGTCACCTTTCACCGGTTCAACACCCTTTCCCCGATCTGCGCATGCGCCCGCCTAAGGCCTCCGCTGTTCTCATGGCAACGGGTCCCTCAAAACGTCATCGCCCGCGGCTCTTCCTCCGGATGGGCTCGTCCTCAGGTCCAGGCTGGCGTTAGGTCCAAGGACGACTTGAAAGACCCCTCAACCCGCACCCCCAAGGCCCCCCGACCCCGCCTCAGATGACAGTAGCCGGAAGGGCTAACCTTCCTTGAATGCCTACTGTGTGCCCTGGGCCAAGCGGTGCGGACAAGGGCACCGGCTGGGTCAACTGACTGGGATCAACCCTCAGCACCCCGCTAGCGATTTTCTTCTGGCCAAATGGCTCCTCTCAACATGCCTCAGTTTCCCCATCTGCAATGGAAAATAACAATAACCCTCTCATAAGGTTGCTGTGAGTTACATGAACATTCATAAAGTGCTTATTGTTTCACTCTCCTCTTTCCTGTCCCGCTCCGGTGCTCCAAAGCCTTTCCTTTCCACCACCCAGTCCCCCCCCACAACCCTCATTTCTCACAAACTTAGATCTCAGACCCTCCTCCACCCCCACTAATCCTTTCTCCCGGGCTCTTTCCCCAAACCTCTCTGCCCTTGTGTCCCCTTCATATCCCTGGCTCTGTAGGTTTTATTCATCCACAGGACATTCGTTCATTCATTCACTCATCCAACAGGCATTTTCTGACTCCTTCCTCCACCGCAGGCCTCGTGCTGAAGGCGAGGATATGTAAATGAACTGCCATGACCTCTGTCCTCAAGGGGCTCCTATCTCCGGAGACAGGAAAGCAAAGGCACACGTAGCAGTAAGACAGTGGCCACAGTGGAGACCGGGTTAGGTGCATTGGAACTTAGAGGAGGGGGCCTGCCTGGGGACATCATAGACATCTTCTCAGTGGCATTTGAGAAGGTGGGGATGGGGATGGAGGGTGGCACTGCAGGTAGTGGGACTGGCATGTGCAAAAGCGTGGAAGTGTGAAAGAAGAGCACGTGTGTTTGGAGAACGAGTCATTTTTTCGCAGGAGGGTTCATTGGGAAGCGGGGCAGATCAGCAGAGACAACAGCAGGGGCAGGAGGGGAACCTCAGGAGCCCAGATGTGAGGAAGCTGAGCTGATCACTGTTTCCAGGGTTTCCCTGACTTCGGCCATTCGGGAAGCTCTTTCATGAATCTTGCCATCTATTTCATATTTCCTTTAAATCATCTCAAATAAAACCTCAAATATTTATTTATTTATTTAATTATTTTTTAAAATAAAGATGACCAATAAGGGGATCTCAACCCTTGGCTTGGTGTTGTCAGCACCACGCTCACCCAAGTGAGCTAACCGGCCATCCCTATATAGGATCCGAACCCGTGGCCTTGGTGTTATCAGCACCACACTCTACCGAGTGAGCCATGGGCTGCCCTAAACCTCAAATATTTAAAAACCTCAAATAAAAAGGAAAAGCAATAATGTCCATTTACTCCTGTGCTCAATATACTCTATTGTTTTTTAATACATATTCAAATTATACTACTGTTTGTTTGTTTGTTTGTTTTGGTGGTTAGCTGGTGTGGGGTATACTACTGTTAAAAAGAGTTGATCTAGTCACCCAAGATCTTCCACCCGCTACCAGTGGCACTGAGGCTGAACTCTGGAGACATCTGCTGTGGAGACGGGGTGAAGAGGAGATACTGGGGCTACTCCTCTGTAGGGAACCCCCAAGCTCCCCCCCCCCCGCCACTCCTCCTTCCAAACCTTAGACCTTTCTACCGTCTCTGTTGCCTGTTGTGTTAGTCTGCCCTGGTGGACTAATACACAGACTGGGTGGCTTAAACAACAAAAATGTATTTTCTCACAGTTATAGAGACTGGAAGTCTGAAATCAGGGTGCCAGCGTGGTCGGTTTCTGGTGAGGGCTCTCTTCCTGGCTTGTAGGTGGCTGCCTTCTGGCTATACCCTCTTATGGCTTTTCCTAGTTTCATGGAGAGAGAGAGAGAGCTCTCTGGTGTCTCTTCTTATAAGGACACTAATCTATCAGATCAGGGTCCCACCCTTATGACCTCATTTAACCTTAATTACTTCCTTGGAGGCCCAACTCCAAATACTAACTGGAGGTTAGGGCTTCGGCATATGAATTTGGGGGGATGCAAACATTCAGTCCATAACACCTATGTTGGAGGAAGATGTATGCTTGGGAGGTGACCGTGGGGCTGGACTAAAGCACTTTTAGGTGTTTTCCTCCTCCTTGGAGCAGTGGGGCTGTGGCAGGAGGAGCATAGAGTTCTCTGAGGGAGATTGAAAGTGACAACTGTGCCTCTCCCAGAGAGAGGACCCTACCCTCCCAGCGGGGGTAAGATAAGAACAGTCCTCTGATGGAATGCTTCAGGGGCTCCCCTCTTCTCTCAGCCCTAGGGCCTGAAGCTCACCCCCTGGACTTTGGAGCCTTTCAGCATGACAGCCTCCATATCAGAAGTAGAAAAGTGGGGTCCACAGGCTCAGTTCAGCCCACAGATGGTCTTGTTGGCCTATCCAATGATTTAAATTAAAATTTTGTATTAGTGGCTAACTTTGTATTTCTATACAATTATTTCAACTTTGCCATATGATTGAAAAGTTTTATAATAAAATGTTGAAAAATAAATGCACGAACACCAAGGAGCTACCACTATACACTTGTTAGAATGGCTAAAATCCCCAAACTGGCAATACCAGCTACTAGCGAGGTTGCAGAGCAACAGGATCTCTCATTCATTGCCGCTGGGAATGCAGAATGGTAAAGCCACATTGGAAGACAGTTCGGCCACTTCTTCCAAAATAAATCAACTCTTACCCTAGGATCCAGCAGTTGTGTTCCTGGGTATTGACCCAACTGATTTGAAAACTTATGTCCCCACAAAAACATGTGCATATGAATGCTTATAGCAGTATTAGAACCTCCGAAACTGGAAGCAACTGAGATGCCCTTCAATAGGGGAATGCTATATCCATGCAATGGAATGTTATTGAACAATAAAGGGAAATCACCTAACTAGCCACGAGAAGACACAGCTAAATCTTAAATGCCAAGTGAAAAAGGCCAGTCTGAAAAAGACGCATACTGTATGATTCCAATTGTATGACATTCTGGAAAAGGGAAAATTATATAGACATTTAACAGATTACTGGTGGCCAGGAGTAGTGGGGAAGGGGTAGGATTGAATAGGTGAAGCCTAGGGCATCTTTTTTAGGGGAGTGAAACTATTGTATATGATACAGTAATACTGAATAGAAAACATTAAGCATTTGTCAACATGTAAACTTTATTTATTTTTGGCAGCTGGCAGTCTTGGGGAACCAACAGTTTTTTTTTTTCTTTTCTATCTTTTTTGGCTTTGTGTGTGTGTGTATGGCTGGCTGGTATGGGTAACTGAACCTGTGACCTTAGTGTTACAAGGCTGTGCTCTACCAACTGAACTAACTGGCCAACCCCTAAACCCTTGGCCTTGGTCTTACAAGGCCTCTAACCAACTGAGCTATCTGGCCAGCCCTGCGAGTAAACTTTAATTATGCAAAAGAATAATAATAATAATTTAGAAGGTTGGTTGACCCCAGGATGGAAGAAAAATGTGACCAAGGTATGTGTAGAGCTAGGGCTGGGTCTGGAGCTCACAGACCCCTCAAGCCCATTCACAAACACTTCACATGCAGGTTTGTGAGCTAGGTAACAGGAAAAGGCCCTTGGAGCCTTGGTTGAAGAAAGAATAGTCTTTACTCAGCACCCACACGTCTAAGAGCTAGGCAGTCCAAAGAGAACTGAGCAGCTGCCAGCAAAGTAAACATGCTCTATTTTTATTTTTTTTATATTTTATTTTATTTTTTTTTAAAAAGATGACCGATAAGGGGATCTCAACCCTTGGCTTGGTGTTGTGAGCACCACGCTCAGCCAGTGAGCTAACCGGCCATCCCTATGTAGGATCTGAACCCATGGCCTTGGAAACATGCTCTATTTTTAGACATGAGCTCTGCCAAGCCTCTGCTTCACACACTGAAGAACACATGAATAGCAACAAACTAAAAAGGTACAGGGGCGTGCATGCGCACTAACTCCACCCCCACACAACTCGTTTACAAAGAATGTGCTGCACCACCCCCAACCTGATGGAGGCGAGGGGGGCTGACCAAACTACACCATTTTCCTCACAGTATGTAGCTGTCTTACAAATGTACAAAACAACCTTACTGTAGGGGAAGGGGGAGTAGGTGCTGACCTGGAAAGGAGTGGAGTCTGGAGGACTAAAGGCAGAAGAAGCTGTACACAAGCACTGTGCTCTAGGTGACAGGGTGGCTTCCCACTGGAGCTGGACAATTGGGCAAATGGGGGGTGAATGGTATAGTCAGGTTTCTCAAAGCTGGAATGAGAAGATACAGACAAGCAAGGAGAGAGGCTAGAATGATCCGCGTGGTACTGGATTGGAGTTGGAGGCTTCAGTATGAACTCATGTATAGCTTAATACACATCCGGTTGCTTACA